CCATCTATACAGCCACTAATTGCCGATCCATAGGGCTTTAATGGGACATGGTTTGGTCCATTGGAGCTGTAAACTCTTCTCACAAATCTCCGTCTTGCCAAAAGTTGTACTCCTGAGGGATCAAGTTCCCCCATCAAACCCATGACACGGATGAAAGGAGTGAATTTGCAGCATTTTTCTTTGGCAGTTGTTTTGTGGGTTTGTGTGTTTTTGGTTTTGCATCATTCCTGCGTTTGCCCTTGTCGGCCACCGTATGTTCCTCTATTTAACAATTTATACCAAAAACATTTTTACAAAAACTCAATTTCTTTCTATTTTTATACCAAAATCCAGTTATTTTATCTTCCTGTAAATCAAAATGTGACGTCAGCGTTTATTAACTGATTCTCCCCGACTGCAGGAAATATGTAATTCAGGAAATAAGTGGACGTGTGATTTGTGTCTCAGCTTTAAAGGCGTCTCTGTGTGTGTTTGATGCCACAGGGATGGGGAACAGCAACAGTGACCGGTCCAGTGGGGGTCAGGGGGACAGGAAGGAGGCCCGACCCAACATCCTGATGGACAGCACAGAGGACACAGACCTCTTCCGAGGAGAGGACCAAAAGGTACGAGGACTGGCACCGTCACACCCTTTATAATAATATAATAATGAGATCGTCTGTGCTTCCAGAATCAATACTGACGTAAAAATGAAACAGATATTTAATGAAATATCTGCCCAGGTCCAGAGTTTACTGTGTTATACGTCAGAGACTTTTAGGTCACGTTAGACGGTGAATTCTCATCAGTACAAATATCAGAGCGGAGCCTAAAAACAGAAACCTGCTGAATTTACAGCCAAACGGCAGAAAATAATAAATACCCATAAATCCTGTCAGCCGTGAACGATGCAGTGTATTTATATATAAATATTTCTATATGACAGTATTTTTGTATCATGTTTATTCTCAGTAAATATCATAAAACACACATTTAAGTCAAACTATCATCATAACCTTATTTTTAGTAAATTGGAAATGATTTTGTCTGCTAAATCTACGTTGAAATAAAATTATATTTGTAAATTACTGATAGAATAAACTTATAGACAATATATAGACAATTATGTTGCCTCAAATAAAATAAATAAAAGTGTATATTATATTATATATTTACTCAGTATAAGTAACTTGAAGTGAGTCAGTTGCATCACTATTTTTACATCCAAATATATAAAATTGAATTAATTTGACTCTTTCACAATAATAATATTTGTGCAAACTGTTGCTATATTTTTAAAAAGGTTTTCACAGTGCAGGTAGACTGACTTAGATTGTTGTTATAATGTTAAAGTTTGCTAGTTCAGGTCGACAAAATGCTACAAAACAGGCTCAAATACACAAAAGATGCAAACTACAATAAGAATTATATGTTAACGTTACTTATTATGAAATGTTACAGCCACAC